TCCAAATAGGTCTTATTATTGTCATATATACGAGTCGTTTATAATTGATTGAAAGCTTAGATCGTTTGTCTAGTAAGTGCTGCAGTAGTCGAAAACGTCGGGCGGTTTCTAGTCGTTTCAGTCTGGTATGGGGGTTCCAAGTGAGTCGTTTGTCAAGGTGGAGTCCTAAGTAGCGGATTTGCTCAACAGGAATAAGTGGAGTATTATTGAAGGATACTGTAGGACAAGAGGTCATAGGTTTACGACGGAGGGTAAAAGTGATTTGATGGGATTTGTTGGAATTTATTTTTATTCTCCAATTTTTACACCATTCTTCAAGGCTTGTGATATGTGATTGAAGAGTTTGGGATGCAATTAAAGGATCGTTATTAACTGATAGGATACACGTGTCATCGGCATAGGTGGTGATGACAGTGTTGGATTGGGTTGGGATGTCAGCTGTATAAACTGTGTAAAGGATAGGACCTAGGATACTACCTTGAGGAACACCGGCAGACTGAGTAAAAAGAGATGAATAAGCATTGTTATGATTGACTTTGAAGTATCTGTCAGTAAGGTAGGAACGTATAATGAGGAAGTATGTAGGTGGTAGGAATTCACGGAGTTTGTACATCAGTCCCGGATGCCAGACTCTATCAAACGCCTGTTCAACGTCGAGAAAGACTCCCGTGCAGTACATTCCGCGCTCCAATGCAGAGGAGACTACATCTACCACACGATGGCATTGCTGAATAGTGGAGTGGGATGTGCGGAATCCAAATTGGTGATCTGGGATAATGTGTTTAGAGTCTAGGATGGGATACAGGCGTTTTAAAATGAGTTTTTCCAGGATTTTGCCCATAATGGGTAAAAGGGAGATAGGACGGTAAGAGGATGGGTGTTCTGGCGGCTTTGTGGGTTTAGGTATCATTTTGACAATGGATAGTTTCCAAGAGTCAGGAAAATATGTGGTGCGGAGTACAGCATTAAATATATAGGTTAGGAACAATATGGCTTTTTTAGGAAGACATTTTAGGATCTGGGAGGTGATTAGGTCATGGCCAGGAGCTTTGCGAGAAGGTAATCTATTAATGATATTGGATATTTCTGAAGGATGAAATGCTTTAGGTGGAGGAGTCAATTGGAGTGGGGTATCCAATTCTGCTTCAATAAACTCAAGGTGGGTTGGATTAAGGATGTCTGGGTGTGGATTAAATGTTTTTGAGAGGTTTTGAGCAAATATTTGAGATTTTTCATCATCAGATCTGGACCAGGTTTGGGTTTCAGTAATAAGTGGGTGGTTAAAATCTTTGAATTTAAGGAGTTTTTTAGTGGTCAACCATAGTGATTTGTCACAAGTAGTAAGTTTTTCTGTCATGTTATGTAAATTTTGAATTTTGTATTTTCTAATTTCAGCTTTTAGTTGTTAGTTAATTTGTTGTAATATGTCTTATCTGATGGATATCTAGTCCTGTGCCACTTCGATCTTGCTCTGCGTTTTTCCCTTAATAAGATACGAATATGCTGCGGCAAATTTGTCTGTTGGGAGTTGTCAGTTTTATTGGTAGATGTATTATTCTTTATTTTGTCACTTATAGATGTAGTAAGTTCTTTTATGGCTGTGTCAATATCACGTTTCGTCTTAAGTGGAATATTTAGGTCCAATTTATTTTCCAGGTCTTTACGAAAATTGTCCCAGTTTACTCGTCCTGTAATCAGTGTAGGAGAGGACGAGGGCTTAGGAGCGAAGGTTGTGTGTAATGAAAGCAGAACTGGAGAATGATCTGAGGAGAGGTCATCCAGGGATTTTATTGTGACATGGGAAGAGGAAATTTGGGAGGTGACAAATATGTCGAGGATATCAGGGCGTTTTTTGAGGGATGTTGGCCAATAGGTAGGATTCATAGGAGAGAGGACAGAGTAACTATTGGAAGTTGAGACAGAAGATAGTATGTTACCACGGGAGTTGGATGATCGACAACCCCATCGTTGGTGTTTAGCATTGTAGTCTCCTCCAGCAATAAAGCGCGATCCGAAGGATTGAAATAAGGATTCAAGTAAGTTATAGGTAAGAGTATGACCGGGAGGACAGTATACAGCTGAGAATGTTAAATGGAAAGGACGAGTTGAAATGATAACCGAGGTTGCTTGAATAGCCTCCGTTGGAGTAGAAGGAATGAGAGAATGGGATAAGGATTTATGGATAAGGATGCAAGAACCGGCATGGGAAGTGTTGTCGGGGTGGTCTGATCTATAAGTGATATAGTCACGTATGTAGAAATATGAACGTCGAGTGAAGTGAGTTTCTGTCAGTAGAGCAATATCAATGTGATAGTCATGAAGAAAAATGTCGAGTTCGTCTCGGTGGTTTTGTAGTCCGTTAGCATTCCATAAAAGAACAGCTAGGGGCTTAGTGCTCATCGTGAGAGATTGAAGGGAATTTCGGTAAGGATTCTTGTGAGGAGGGTAATTAGTGGCTTGATAGTCTCTTGGAGATCTTTCAGGAACGACGCAAGGGTGAAGTTTATTAAATCGATCGGGTTTTGTTGGTCAGGTTGGTTTTGATTAGGAGTTCGTGAGGGAAAGATCTTATGATAAGGAGTGTCTGATGAAGGATGTACCCTTGGAACTTGGGAAGGAGAGTAAATATGAGCAGTAGGGTGGGAATAAACAGTTGGATGTTCGGGCGGTAATTTTACACGTATAGGTATCTGGTGAGGAGGCATTTGCTGACGTGGAGATTTTGAATGAATGTGGGAGATTTGAGTCTTGGATTGGGAGGTCTGGATCTTAGGTTTGGAAGCCTGAGTCTTAGTTTTGGAAATCTGAGGCGTCTGACGTCGCGGCTGTTGATTCTTCACCGTAGTGTCTGAATATAGGTGCCTAAAAGTTCTAGGTTCAGTTATTTCGTTAATTTTATTATTGGCTGTAACAGAATTGTTACTGGATGTGTTAGTTGATGGTTTAGTGTCAGGTTTCATAGCTGAATTATTACTAGTTTTTGATTGTTTATTTACTTTGAGAGCTTGCTTTGTTTTAGCGGATTTTTTTTTTTTTTTTATTAGGTGAGTTGCCCGCCGAACCGGGGGCAGAGTTTCTATGGCGCTTTTGGAGAGTTCGCCTTGTTAAATATTGAGAATCAGTCTCACTGATTTCGGAGAAAGGAGTCTCTTCATCTGATTCGTCAAAAGAAATGTTCTTATCAGAATCCATACCTCTAAATAATAATATATACAAAAAGAAGAGAGAAAAAAAAAAAAAAGTATCACTAATAAGAAAATTTACAAAACAAATACTTAATAACTAATCTATTTACAAATATATATACAAATATTAAAAAAAACATTTTTATAAATAAATAAAATAGAGTCTCAGTAGAAAAAAAAATATTAAAATAAAATAATCAATTAAGAAATAAAAACAGAGAAAAAAATATATATATACTGTCTTAGGTACGAACTCAAGGTATTCTGAACGTAAAATAAAGCGCCGTGACCTTGAATTTGAAAGATAAGACCCGCTGAGGGGAATTATCTGCCACGTAAACTGTCTCTAGCAATCGAGTACCAATTTAATGTTGCTAATTGTTAATAAAAGTCACTCACCTCACTGATTGTAATGTAAAAATGTTAAATTGTTTATAAACTCACTGTTTACAAAGTCTGAGAACAGGATTTGAGATAATAAGCACATAACAAACTAGCAAAGACGGAACGATACGAATATAGAACCTCAGTTTCGGCCATGACACTTACGACATTTAACAACTTAAATTTTTTTTTAAAACAAAGCAATAAAAATATCTTATCAGACGAAATTATTTTCGATTAATATAATTTCTTCTTTTTTTTTTTTTTAATTTGTAAGGAATTCAGAAAAATTTAAAATACTCATAGGTTCAATGAACCGAAAATTGTGTACTTTTTGAGTTATTCGTAAATGAATTTCTGAATCAATCGTTACATTATTTTCATGATCTTTCCGGGGAAGTATGATATATAAATACATTAAAAAGACTTTTGTCATCCTACCTCACTATAACCAATGTCCAACAGACAGATTGTTATAATACTCAATAAAGAAATTAAAAAAAAAAAAATATTTTAAGGAGAAGACTTTATCCAATTTTTATTAGAATCATATAAACAGCAGCAGTTGCTGTAGTCCATGTTTTTCGTGCACCATTTTGAAGGAAAATGCCGAACGGTATTGAAATCTATATACCAACACTTCTAAATTCAGTTGCAACGTTTTTCTTAATTTCAAAGCAATCGGCGGAAAACATGCGAAAATTTGCAGTTTGAACAAACTACTATTTACATTTTATTTATATATAGCGTTTTCAATTTTTTTTTTTTTTTTATTAATGACAATAAAGTTCGTCAACAGATAATAAAGAAAAAAAAATCGATTGAGAAACCAAGAAGAAAAATAGACTGAACTGTTTCATATTTGTCTATTTATATAATTATTAAATTTCTGGAAATATTTACAATTAGTAATTTGTATTTCGAATTAATGGTTCCTGAAAGTGTTAACTTCCAGAGAAAAACAAGGTTAAAATATGTTGTAAATAACAATTTATTCAAGGAAGCTAGTCGACTATTCTACATGTCATGGGTGATAAATATTCAGGTAGCAGTTTTTTAAAAAACATTTTTTTAAAAATTTTTATTTGTGCCAACGTTTCAACCCAAACATGTGGGTCATCTTCAGGGCGTGGTTACAGCACTGAATGCTTTCAAGTACTGATCCCAGTACTTTAAGGTCAGTACTTGATCAGTACCCCAGTACTTGATGGTCAGTACTCGAAAGTATTCAGTGCTCGAACTACGCCTTTAAGATGACCCACATATTTGGGTTGAAATGTTGGTTCAAATTAAAAAAATATATATTTTTTAAAAGACTGCGTCCTGAATATTTATCACCAAACAATTTATTCATTCATTTCCACATTTGCACTCTTCTTTTCATATATTTCTACTAATACCATTTATTTTTATTTAATTATCAACCCTTACCTGTAATTACTACGACAGATACCCAAGTCATAGCGTTCTCTCCTAGAGAGCAGCTGTAGTTCCCTGAGTCAGTAGGACCTACATTTGCGATGTAGAGTTGGCTTTTAGCGCCGTCTGGAAGGATGTCAGTCTTTACGCTGTAACACCGACAAAGATTAAATAGTTAATTTAATTATTTTTATTTCGAATTTAAGTTATTCTGTAAGAATTATGCATTAAAAAGATACTAAAATCTAAAAGCAATATTGAGTAATAATATATTATATTATAATTATTAATAATAACTAGGGGGTACCCAACCGCCATTGTACAAATTATTCGATTGTTCATTTAATAATACTACTTGTTGCTCAACTTGTAAATATAACTGCGATTTATATATATTCTGTTGTTCAGATTGTATTATTATTTATCAACATAAAATAAACTGAACGAAACAGTTAGGACAAACTTTTAATTTCTTTGCAAATCTATTTTATACATTGCCCTTATTACCTATTTATATTGTTATATAATTATAATTATTTTTCTAAATTGCTAAATTTTAATCTTATATGATATATATTCAACTTGTCCAGCTTCATATAATACCAACAGCCTTTTATTGCTAATATTTTTAATGTAGGTTATATTGCGCTTCCTTTTCTATTATTATTATATTATGGGTCGATCCATTTGAAATTACCCAGCTCATGTCGTTCGACATTTATTATTTTTTTTTATAACTTTTTGCCAGTTACCAGTAAAATAGGTTTTGGGGAAATATCGCAAACTCTGATTATTTTATAGATATCAAGTTAGAGATATTTTTCTACATTTCCATTGATCATTTCATCACATATAAAGAAAAGTAAGTGCTTTAAAAAAATCATGAAAATAGAAAAAAAGTGATATTTAGGAATGTGTGCAAAAGCGTAAAAAAGAAAAGAGTCTCAACTTTAATTTTTAAATTCATATGTAAACCTGCCTCCGTGCGTCTAATTGATGAAATTTCAATCTTAAAAATCTTGTCCTTTTTTAAATATGAATTTTCAAAAACGCTCAAAAGTCGTTTTCGCCGATTTTTTGAAGTTATATCACAAAAGGGACTGAGTGAAAAATTAAGAAATTGATACAGTTTATCCCTATTAATGATAGGAATGTGTGATAAGAATTAGATCATTGAGACTCAACTGATTCTATTAGTTACAGCGCAACAAATATGACTGCCTAGTGTGAGTAGGTATCAGCATATCCTTCCTAATCTAACTGCGGCATTTTTGCAGATATCAAAACAAAACAAAAACTAAAATTATTATGATGTTTTACTATACATTTTTGTACTGACAATATATCTCAAAAGAAATAAAGAAAGTTTAAAAACAAAATTAACAACTAACGAAAAAACGTTTGAGCGTTTTTAAAAATTCATATTTAAAAAAGGACAAGGTTTTCGAAATTGAAATTTCTTCAGCAAGAAGAACAGAGATAAGACTAAATATGAATAAAATTTAAGTTGAGACATTTTTTTTGTTACACTTTTGCAGCCCTAAATGTCACTTTTTTTTCTATTTCCTGATTTTTGTAAACCACTTTTTATTCTTTATAAGTGATTTATTGATTAACAGAAATGTTTTCAATTCAAATCAGTTGATTGCAAATGGATTCACCTTTATGTATAACACAATATAATATTATATATGATATAATAATTAATATATTGTACTCCTGGGGATCAAAAAATAACTGCTGTTGCCTATGTAAAAGCAAATTACAATCTCCAGATGAAAACCCGTACCGTTTCCCGTACAACTTTTGAGACTAAAATATTTGTATTAGGAGAGCAAGAGATTATCAGAGCTCAGTAGATGATACGCATATATTTATTATACAATATACTATATATATATATATATATATATATCTATGTATATATATATATATATATATATATATATATATATATATATATATATATATATATATATATATATATATATATACATATATACATAGATATAAATATTCGGGTATAGGATTTTGTGATCCTTGAATTGCAAATTTGATGAACTGGAACATTTTTCATTATAAATAAAATAGTTCATTATTCCTAATTACTTTTCGTGATTTTATTTAAATTGAAGCTAGTTGAATTTGAAAAACATCACATCTCTTAAGGAGTTCGAAATGCAATCAGAACCTTTTCACTGATATAATGAGTAAACATGAAAGTAGCAAACTTTTACGTTAAGAAAAAACTTAAAAAAGAAAAGTATTTGATTCATTTAAAAACTTGCCAAATTATAAAAAATAAGCAGTTTTCTTTGTTTTTTTTTAATTCCAAAGAGCACTTGAGTATTTTATTGAAGAGCCGAGTTTCTAATGTTAGGCCAAAAAGAGTATGAAGTATCAATACTCTCAATTGAACTCAAATTACTCAATTCTCTTGAAATGCAAAGTTATAAGCGACAATCGAATGCAAAATTTAAACAATAAGGTATAAGGTATGTTGTATTGAATGATATGTGATACAGTATTCGCCTACTAAAAGATCAAAATTATCAATTCAATAACAACAATGGGCAGGAGCGTGAAGGAGTGATTGTATTGTGTTTACCTATCAGTGTATTAGATCTAATTTGTTTTGTATCCGGAAAAGAGAGATTTATAACAAAGGAATTTCCTTGTTACGTTAACAATCTGCCAATCATCGAAAAATAAATAGTACCATTTTCCTTTTCTAGAGGTAATGCTATTTTCATACAACTTTTTGTATGTTAAAAGATAAAGAAATTATTTTCTATAAAGAACAGCGTCTTTGAAGTCAGGTCTTCTTTGGCAATATTTTGCCGTTAATTAGTACTTCGTCTTCATGGCATCAGCACCAATTGACAGAGATGTCTGTTCCTTCATCTTTGAGTTAGATATAATTCCTTGTTGTCTTTTTATTGCAAGGCAGGGCTGATAGTGATGATAAATGAATCCTGGCACATATTCCTTTAAACTTCTTTATTGAGATATTACAATCTGTCACATTCAACGACAATAGTAATAGCGATATAGAGTAGCTCATTCATGCCATACAATAAATACAAATAATAAACGGCAATATAATAATACTAAAGTAACTTGCATATAAACTAAAATATATTAAACTAAATAAAAATATACCAATCTAACAAAATACCTGGCACGTATAACTTAACTTTTTCGTGCCATTGGCAACGTTTCAGTTTTGTTTTATAAATTTGGAAGAGAGAGATTCGCTATTTGTTAGGACGTGTTTACTAAATATACTGTGTTGTTACATAAAACCGTTATTAGTAATTGATTATATTTCGTCATATAACTAATGAATAACTATAAACAACCATCTTTCTAAAATGTTTTCACATTGAGATATCTGTCGATCTTAGAAAATTTCAGAGCTTTGAAATTTGTCCAATCTTCACAGAAAGTCCCTAAGGTTCATCATTGACCCATCTAATTTATATTGTCCTTCACTCTGCTTGACGTTTCATATTTCCTAAAATTATCATGTCAAAACTTCTAATCCTGGCATTGATACCACGCTCTCTCCACCGACGTGGAAAAAACTCGTATAGTATAAAAAAAGAAGGGATCAAAAATAAAAATAAAGGAGATATAGGCAAGTAAAATAAAAAAAATAATATAAAACTAAGACGTGTGCTTCAGACTACCCAATAGAAGTGAAAACATCAACAAGGCGAGATTAATAATATTAAACATAAATTATGAATAATAACTCATCACAAAAATGATAAAATGATGAACATTTCTCTTGCTTACTATATAGAGGTCAAATTATTAGTTTTTGAGATATTTTAATCCAAATGCAAAAACACTTCTCGTTATAATTTGGTTTATGATACTATTTTTCAATTTTCCGCTCTCTAACACGGCGTCGAGTTAAGAAACAATTTGAATAATAACCTCATTACAAAGAGAATGAAACAATGTTTTTTTTTTTCCTACCTCCGGAAATTTATTTGCTATACTAAATTTAATACATAAATGCATAAAAAAATATATGTACGAAAATTTCTAATTTCCTTTTATTGCTCAAGGACATTTTAAGGTAAGAGGGCTATGCACACTGTATGCGTACTTTGCATCTGTGGCCAGAGGCCTTTTATTATACCACTGGGCGTGGAGGGGACTTCCTGGAATGAAGTGATGAACATTTCCCTCGCTAATGAGGTCCAACTATTAGTGTTGGTATATTTTAATCGAGATGCAAAAACACTTTAATTAGCAGACTCCGGCCCACTTTACCCAAGCATTACACATCGGAAATCTGACGGCTCAATCTAATTCACTCTCCACAAAAAAATACAATACAAATATTTTATATTTAAAATTTAAAATGATTGGTAATACAATCCCCGTTGTCTTGAAAAGTATACATTAACTTCATTTCGACACTACAAAAATTTAAGTTGAGCAGATCCCTAGCAACTATAGAAAATTTACATGATTGCTGATAAAAATCGTGTACCAATTGCTCAAAATATTAATTAATGGTTTCTTTGAAAACCTTTTATTTAGGAGTTTTTCTAAATTGTTATAAATGTTTTTGTAGTTAAAAACATTATTTTGACCTAATGTACGCAAGAAGTCTGAATAGTGAAAGAAGAATGATCACTGAATGAATAAATGAATTTTCGTTCATTGAATTAAACGCGCGTAACAAAATATCCCCCTACTTAAAATATTCGTATTATTGTGCAGCGAGCCGATGAAAAAGCTTACCATCTGTGAAATTAACACTTTCCACAGTGCCTGCTTTATATCTAGTACTTTCCTTGTGGTTGAAATATGACCACATTCTACCACGCACAATATAATTGTGCCCGTCACTGCTTTCCTTGAAAATTAAAAGCCAGGAAGCAAAATAAAAAAAAAAAATAATTTATAATAAACAAAAATTATTTGTTTTAAAACAGTGTGCTAATTATAGTTTACTATTTAATAGATCCAAGGCAAACAATTGATTATGTAATTTACAATTTTAGAAGTACCAGTTACACATTTACATTTACTGAAAGTTAAACCATTTTACGACAAATTGTTAACGCACCTTGGTACAATTCAAATAATATTATTCCTAACGACTTAAAAACCCCAACAGTAAAAT